AAGAGAGATGCGGAGTAGTCCTTAATACTGCTGAAACATGGAAGTCAGTGTGATGATATACTGCCAACTCTGAGAAAGATATGGCATCGTCTTACAGTTGTGTTGCCCCGGAGGCGTGTATCCCTCACTCAGGACTCAGAGCTCTGGATTGATTCTGTCTTATTCTGGTGGAGTTGGGAGAGTGTGTTCTAACTGGATGGCTCTCCATTCACTATGTGTTGGACGTGCCACTTGAGCCCCTCAAGCTCTCCCTGAATCTGGGCATCGTGGAGACATGGTGGACTGCTCAGCCCGCTGTAGGTATCGAGTCCAGTGATGGCTGTGCAGGGTCAGCTAGTGGGCTGTACGTGGGAGACTGTACTGCTACAGGAAAATATTCCCATTAGACGGACGAACATAGAAACTAAAACGTCTACTGAGCGCTTGATAGTACATGAAGTAACGTGAGAAAAAAATGAGGCGGATATCCACAGACAAACAGTTGTAAAGACTGGAACAGAGCAATCAACAGTTAAGGGCCAGTAGAACAGGTTTCTATAGCTTCCAGTACTGAACACTCGACGGAGATGCGATGTACCAGAGCATTGTGAGTAAAGGGACGTCGGCGTACAGAGCTTTGTACTTGTACAGTCTACTCAGTTGCTTTGTATCTTGGATGATGTCCTGAGTTATTGATATCCATTTCACAAAGACGTCAAAATCAGTGTGGTACAAAAAAAACAAATATAAAACTTTTGATTGTTAAAGTTTTTTGTCTTCAATCTAGAAAAAACACAAAGAAAGCCTGCAGCCACTGGCATAGAAATATCCTGTTGCTAATGTATTTTTTATAGTTGAAGTAAATGTTTTTTTTTGTAAAGCTCCAATAAATTGATGAAAGGCTTGTAATGATTTTTTTCTCTGAGAACCAGATGGGCTCTTTCAGAGTGCACACTTTGTCACAATGACACTGAAGTTCTTCTATTTTCTCATTTCCACCTCTCCATGTAAGAAAACAAACCGAAGAACAGCACAGATCACATAACTTGATCTGTCTCAGTTTGGCAGAAATAAAATAATTAAACTCACAAGTTTCTGTAACTGTGACGTCACTGCTGTCCTCTGTGTAGTAAACTGGATCTCCTCTCCCTCCTCTGCAGTGGTACAGACCTCCTTGTGAGACACTAATAACTCTGTTTGCTTCATTTCCTCTCATGAGCTGAGCTTTAGAAGAGACTGAATCACGTCTGAACCAGTCAAACTTCCAGCCAGCAGAGCCCTCCACAGAGCAGCTCAGTGTCACACTGCCCCCTGCTGGTATGATTGAACTTTGTGCTGTCAGTGTGGCTCTGGGTTTACTTGCTGTTGAAGTTACAGGAAAAAGTTAAACAGATTGTTGATTGTTACTTGATTAAAGAAGAAAAATGTTACAGTAATGAAAAAAATCACTAGATAATATAGTTACTAGAATCAAATATGAAACAATTATCCTGCAAATAATGAATACAGACTATTTGCCAACTGGAAAAATAAATACATAAAAAATTAAAATGAATAGGCCAGCGTCCAATAAAATGAGGCTATATTGTAGTCTGCAGTTCATTAAAGTCATTAGGTGAAAAACATAATGTGTGTGTTGGTATGATCATTTTGTAGCAGGGCTGGGTATCGTCACTGATTTCTAGAATCAATTTGATTCTGATTCACAAGCTCCTGAATCGATTCGATCCACAATTTGATTCAATTCGATTCGAATCGATTTGAATCTGGGAGATTTTGCCTCACACAGTCAGAAATATTATAATTCAGATCAGTACATTTACATATTTTTGCATCTATAAAATGGAAGCTGACACTTTCCAGACTTTATCAAAGGTGTGAGCATCACAGCAGAGGCCTTTGTGTCAAAGTAGCTGAAGATAAAACACAGAAAAACATGAAGGTGATTTTCCTGGCCTGGATTTTATAAAAATATTCTGCAGTAGATCAAAAACGAAAGAAAACCATTAATCAACTTATGAACATTACCTCTGAAGTTACAGCGGTTTTATTAGAGACACAGCTAAGCGTTTTGCATTTTGTATAATTTTAAAAAGTTTAAATTTGTTCAGAAGCCTGTTGAACAGCAGAAATTAGGTTTTCTTTTCGGAAGTAAGTAAAAGGAAAAAAAAAAACATCGGCCAACAGCGCTGTAAACAACGGTAGACTTGTGCGTAACAAACAAGCGAATAATGCAGAAAACAGATTTAGACGGGAAACTGTTCTTGAAGTACAGAGAGAGAGAGAGAGAGCTGTGCATGAAGTGTGATTTTATCCTGGTGGAAGCAAAACAGCAAAAGTCAGAGTGATCCATGACGATGTTTATGTGAAGCGTAGTTTGGATCTTCTTTTGCTGCTGGTTCGGTCAATATTGTTTGGAGAGAGATCAAACTAACAGCTTTAGAATCAGCGCAAAAAGGGCGTAAACACAAAGCGCGGACCCGCCGAAACATCAGAATCAGCGAGCTGTCGGCTTTCAGCCCCGACCGTGTCCGTGCCGTCGGGTGAGAAAGGCGACATCTCACTGATTCTGATCCGCGTCCGCGCTTTGTGTTTCCGTCTTTGTGCAGAAGCCGTGTTCCTGCTCTCATTTACTGTTTTAAATGTTGTGGTGGTTGTTGAAATTTTGAGGTTTCACCGCGCTTGGAGATTCCTGGAATTTGTGGGCTCCCAAATTTATGATTAAAAAAAATCGAGTTCAGGGGGTTTGACATGACAGGCTCGGTATATCGGACATTTATCCAAGCAGAATCTGACTTTAATAGAATGAAGTGTGTGTTAGTTGTGACATCCGTCTCTTTAACTAAAACCTGAAACCTCTGAGGATTTGATAAAACAGTTATTATGAATGAAAGATCTTCGACTCACTTGAAACTGTCAGTGTGACTGAATCACTCCACTCTGTTGTTTCATGCTGTGAACTTTTCATTCTGCCCTTACAGCGATAGTTTCCACTGTTGGATGATGAAGCATAAATAATCCTGTATTCATTTAGATTTGGAGGTTTTCTGATGCTGTTTGCTTCCCACTCATAATCCCACTCAGTGTCTCCTCCATGGATCTCACATCTGACAGTGATCGTCTCTCCTCTGTATATCTCAGACCAGTTTGGATGCAGAGTCACAACAGGCCTGTTTGAGACTGTTAATGTTCAAGAAAGTACAATAAAAACACATGAATGACAAAAGGTTCAAATACCATCAGATGTAGTGCTTTGTGGTAAGTTCAAGTTTGAACTCACCAGTTGTGTCAATCCAAACTGACTCACTCCTCTGTGTACCGGTAGTAAGCTTCTCTTTCTCCTCTGCACCTGTAGAGTCCTCCCTGTGAGACTCTGATTTGGTCATTTGATAGAAAAACTCCATCCTGTGGACTCAGAGGTTCATCTCTGTACCAGTAGTATTTCCATCCAGATGATGATGATGGGTTCACAGAGCAGGTCAGGGTCACACTGCCCCCTACTGGAACAGCTGTGTTATCAGCTCTCAGTTTGGCCTTTGGTTTATCTGCAGTTCAGTTTAGAAAAAGAACAAAAGTCAATGACTGAATCAAACCAGTTGAAATCAATTTCAATGACTGTATAACAAGCAATTATATATTTTATTATTATTATAATTTCATTAATTTCATTTATTTTAATAATTTTCAGTTCTTTTGACATTTTTACTGAGCATCACAAAGGAGGGCTAAACTTTTGAAGTATTTTCACTTGTTTAGCTAAAACTGATAATATAGATGAAGGTCCAACTTACTTGATACAGTCAGTGTGATGATATCACTCCACTCTGAGAAGAAATAGTCCCTTCTGCCCCGGCAGCTGTATCCTCCACTGTCAGACTCAGTAGCTCTGATGATTCTGTATTCATTGGATGTTGGAGGTGTGTTTAACTTGGCTGCTCTCCATTCATACGTCCACTGAGCTCCTTCACCTCCCTGAATCTCACATCTGACAGTGACTGTCTCACCGCTGTATATCTGAGTCCAGGATGGCTGCAGGGTCACAGTGGGCTTACTGGGAACTGTTCACAGAAAAATATCCAGTTAGAGACACAAATAGAAACATGAAGTAAAGTGACTGGAACAGCTGATTCACAGACATGTCCTTTTATGCAATAATCTTTAAAACACAACTTAAATATTAATTTCAGGATTTATTTAGATTTATTTAGAGCTTCAACTGTTTGACCCGAGTAAGTAAAATATTTTGAAAAGCAAGTTAAATCAGTCGTAGCTCCCTGCAGACTGATTGTTACTAGGGATGGGTATCGTTTAGGTTTTATCCGATACCGGTGCCAAATCGGTACTTTTGAAACGGTGCCGGTGCTCAAACGGTGCTCAAACCAGTGCTTAAAGAATGGAGAACACAAAATTGGTCCAAAAACCTCTCATGTTCAGCTGGTTTTTTGTAAAAAGATAACAATGTTAGCCTTTTCTGCAGCTATGGGGCATATATGGTATCACTCTTGGCTGGAAGCAGTGCTTAAACAATGGAAAAAACACAAACTTTGTCCAAAACCTCTCATGTTTAACTGTTTTCCACTTTTTCTTTGGTCATTTTAGCCTTTTTGGCCAGGGTGAAGGGAGTATCTGCCATCAAACAAGAAGACAGCCGCATGTAGCTATGATGATGTTTGCTAGTTCACCTTACATGCATTAATGTAATAACGTGGTTAGCCTACTCAACGTAAATTACACACGAACAACATTAAGCTACTCACGCAGAGAAGAACGGCTGCTGCTGCATCATCATCCTCATCATTTCTGCTACACTGGCAGGGCTAGGGGCCAGGACTCTCCTCTTCGGGTTTTTGGGGGATGTTGCTAACTCCGGGTCCGATAACAGGCACCACACCCGCAGTAGATGTGCTCGGTGTGAGGTCTCGCAGCAAGCTATCAAATACGGCGCATTTCTCGGCTTTTAAAAAAACGCTATGCGTCGCCAGGTGTTTCATCGGATTTGAGGTGTTACCTCCTTTGACAGTATCACAGTATCAGCTTAAGCACTTGTTGCAGGCTGCTGAGTAGGGATGGGTACCGGTGTCCGGTGCCATGATGGCACCGGTTCTGACATAAACGGTAGTAACCAGACCGAAAAGCAGCGCACATTTCGGTGCTTTATTTCGGTGCTTTTTTTTCCTGAGCTGTGATACACTTCTAGCCAATCATTTTACGTTTCCGAGGATAGTAGGCGGGCCCAGGTACGTACGTTCTTTTAGAGCAGAGCTACAGATTAAAAATGCCCAAGGCGAAGCGGTCAAAAGTCTGGCTGTACTTCACAGCAAAATATGCAAACTCAGCAGCAACAAGTGCTTTAAGCTGATACTGTCAAAGGAGGTAACACCTCAAATCCGATGTGTTACAGGCATGGTCCTTTAAGGGTGAAGCCTGATGGGAAATGTATGCGGGTGTGTGTAGCGGAACTGTCTGTCGGGTGGGTGAGGGTGAGCGGAGAAGGAAAAGAAAAGTAACGGTTAACTACAGAAGAGACGGAAAGAAAATAAATAAAAGGAATATAATAACTCCCTCGACAGCCAGAGTTGTGTCGGCGATGCTCGCTGTGAGTAAACTGTTTCAGCCCACTGTACGCGGTGTTCGTGCCTTGGAGTAGAAATAAAGTTCGGTGAAGCAGTTTCCTATGCCTCCTTCGATCTTTTTGCTAGCGGAGTTGACCTGTATAGTAAGCTGGTTGCCGGCTACGAGCCAGTTACGGAACCTTCAAGTAACTGCCAGAGGTTTCCTTACTACGGTTTTGGGCCGTGGATCTGGCGCGGTAACACTGGGGGCTCTTTTCCGGGATTAAACTCTGCAAAGTGCCGAGAGAGAGGGAGCGAACTTTTTTTCTCTTTTCCCTTGGACGACAGAGAAAATGGCGGCGCCGGGAGATGCTGAAGGGGATGACATGGTAATGTGCTTCAGTAAGAGCAGCAACCCATTTTTGTCAGAATCCCTGGAGAGTGGCACAGTTAATGTGGACCGTGCCACTTATGTAAACAACAGACATAGAGTTAATGCCAGCGGCGAGCATAGCAGCAGCCAATATGACAGAGTTTGAGGCTGCATGGCATCTCACCCCGCCACCTTCAGCTCACACCAACCCTTTCTTAACACCAACAGCAAAGCAGAATGCAATGTGCAGTGAGTTTAAGCAGTTTCAGTGCTCAGACTGTGAAGGCCCTGGTAATATTACATCTACACCGCTTACAGTGGGACGGCATGGCACACATGATCACCTATCTCGGATTGTTACATCTCTGCCATGCAGCCGGCCATTCACCGCCATGAACTGTACCTGCAATGTCCCTACAAAACCACAGTTTACTGAGCCAGCGAAGCTACACATTATGCCAGGTACACCCCAACCTGCGCAATACAGCTATGAAATGCCAGCTCAGGGCTATTTTTCCCCAACACCTCGCATGGTAATACCAGCACCAGCTGGGGGGTGTGGGCTTTGTAAGCATGGCCAGGGTCACAGTTCGAAACAAGCCACGCCAGGGCCACGGGGCTGTTTTCCTTGAGCAGTACAAGACAGTGGCTTTGCAGATTGTAGTGCCGATGAACAGATGAGGGGCAAGGAGAAAATTCCCACATTACAACTAGACCATTTCGATGGGTCAAGGTCATGGAAAGACTTTCTCTATCAGTTCGAGACCTGTGCAAAGGCCAACTGCTGGACGGAGAAGACCATGGCTGTCCAACTCAGGTGCAGCCTGAGGGGCGCAGCTGGAGCCATAATCCACAAAACCCCCAAATCTGCTTGCTGGAGTTACCAGAGGATTGTGGAGGAGGTGGAGGCTGCCTATGGGCCGTGTTCAGAGCATGCAGCGGCCATTGGCATTGAGCTACGGCATAGAATCAGGAAACCAGGTGAGGCCCTGCACACCCTCAGAGATGATATGTATGAGAATGTTTCCATTGTGTATGCCAACCGCTCCGAGCTGGAGCAGGACTGTATTGCTGTGGAGATCTTCACTAATGCTTTGGCAGATGCTGAAATAGTCCAGAAATTATTGGAAGAACAACCTTCCAATAATTTCCTGGCAAGAGCCTATGAAATCGCCCACAGGTTCGAGCCAACAAAAAGGGCCGCCAGGGCAGTCACGCAGCTTATGCAGCCACAGGCACGAGTCTCTGCAGCACAGGGGGCCCGAACAGCTGCATTACGGGAGAATGTTCATATGCTAAGCTATGAACCACCAGAAAGAGCTCAAAGACCTATCCAGCGTGGGCGCCAAAGCTGGAGCACATTTAACAAGTCAAGCAGGAAGGAGGCTGTTTGCCATAACTGCTCCGGCATAGGACATCTACAGAGGAACTGCCCCTCTCCTCGCTCACCTGCCCAGAAGCCTGTAAAAGCTGCTAGAGGCCCAGCCCCTGACCCAGGCACAGTGTTCCATAATGGAGGCCAAGATGTGATGTGTGTCCAGATAGTAATACAGGGACGGGAAATACGGGCCTTACTGGATTCTGATGCACGGCGGCATGTGCTGCCCCTCCACTATTTTAACACCATCCCCGCGGAGTCAAGACCCCAGGTGTAGGCATCCATTGCTCAGACTGTACAAGGCATTGGTCCAGAGGGATTGGCCGTCCTGGGTGAGGTCATCCTGCCTGTACATGTGGGGAGCGGTGTTAAAAATGTAGACTTTCTTTTGGCCGACATGGCTGAGGGCAGCCCCGGTTTGACTCATGTTGCCCGCTGCGAACTGGTAGGCCTGCTGCGGTCCTATGGTGATGTCTTCTCCACTGGCCCAAATGACCTTGGTCGCACTGGTGTTATCCAGCATGACATCCTGACCACGCCAGGGCCACCAGTTAAGCACCCGCCGCGCAGGATGGCAGGGGACAAACAAATAGTGGCCGACCAGCAAGTACAGCAGAGCCTGGAGGCTGGGCTAGCTCAACCTAGCAATAGCGGCTGGGCTGCTCCAATTGTGATGGTGAAGAAGAAAGACCAGAGTCCCAGACTATGTGTGGACTATAGACCACTAAATGAGCGAACCCTTAAAGACGCTTATCCCCTGCCACGCATCCAGGACACCCTTGACACGCTTTCCACTGCCAAGTACTTCAGTACACTAGACCTGACATCAGGGTACTGGCAGGTAGAGATGACCCCCAGAGCCCAAAAAGCAGCTACATTTTGTACCCGTAAGGGATTGTTCGAGTGGAATGTGATGCCGTTTGGACTGTGCAATGCACCGGCCACATTCCAAAGGCTTATGGACAGAGTCCTGGCTGGGCTGCAGTGGGAGACATGCTTAGTGTACCTAGATGACATCATTGTCCTGGGTCAGGATAGCACCCAGATGCTGGAGCGGCTCGAGCAAGTGTTCATCAGATTGCGTCGAGCAAACCTAAAACTGAAGCCATCTAAATGCTGCCTGTTTCGGGAGCAGGTGGCCTATCTGGGCCATATCATCTCTGCTGGAGGTATTTCCACAGATCCCCAGAAAGTTCAGCAGGTGACGGACTGGCCTACACCGCAGACCATCACAGAAGTGCGTCAGTTTGTTGGCTTAGCCTCATACTACCGCCGTTTCGTGGAGGACTTTGCCACAATAACCAAACCCCTCCACGAACTCACTAAGAAGTATGCCCATTTTAACTGGACTGCTGAGTGCCAGTAAGCATTCCAGGAATTAAAAAAATGACTTACAGCAGCCCCTGTCCTGGGCTACCCACTGGACCAGGGTGACTTGTTCCTTGACACTGATGCCAGCGATTGTGGGATCAGAGCAATTCTCTCCCAAGTGCAATGGGGCGAAGAGCGGGTCTTGGCTTATGGGAGCAGGCGGCTGTCAGCTACCGAACAAAACTATTGTACGACCAGACGAGAACTTCTGGCGGTTGTGGCGTTCACTTCCTACTTCAGACAGTACCTGCTGGGTAGG